GAGAGAAAATGCAGCCTTCATGAGCACTGGAAGTTTCAAATGTTTGTGACACAAAAGTAGGATTTGGGAGGTAAATAATAAATAACTCCGCATAGAACACCTCCCTCATCGTCATTAAAATGACATCATTTCAAGAGCAGTCATTCTGAATTCCCACGGCTTTGTCAGTGATTCATCACAAACAAGAGAAAAGCACCTTCCAGGGCTTCCTTGCCGCTGCCAGCAAGGTCCGTGTGACCATTATTTTGGACCACCGAAAGATGGGAATGAATTCATTAACTCACGTGGCCATTTCAGTATGAAAAAGTGTCTTGTTTTCTAAATATTTCAAATTTAAAAATTTTACTGGTCTACCAGAACTAGAACTTAATGAGATTCTGTTTCTCTTGTAACGTGTTACTGTTTGATGGTGAATAATGGAATAGTGGCAAGGGAGAGTTTGGAGGCATACATCTACCCATTCGTACATAGCCTTCTAGAAAAATCCCATATGCAATAAATACAAAAAAATGCAAATTTAAAAACGTGACAAAAGCAGATCAGTGATTGCCTCAGGATGGCGAGGTGCAGGAGAAAGGGATTATAAAGGGGGCAGAGGAAACATTTGGTGATGATATATTCACTATTGTGATTATGGTAATAGTGTCGAGTATATACATATGTTAAACTATCAAATTGTACAGTTCAGATATGTAAGGTTTATTGTATGTCAGTTATACCTCAAAAAACTTTTAAAATAAGCTTGAAATGACTTAAAAACTTTCTAGCAACTACATTATCTCCTAAAGAAATAACTGGATGAGGATAACTAAGCGGAGTATGGAGTTAGTGCCTGAGACAAAAGAAGTAATAGTTTTAGCATTAGTCTCTCTTTAACAGTATTAAGTAGTTGCTTACCCTATTGACTAACCTTGTTTACTGAAAACTCAATATTCTTTTCTCTACAATTGCCCTAATTTATATTTAGAAGGAAAGCATGATAGAAAATATTTGTAGGAAATAAAAACATTCTAGTTTTCTTTCTACCAATCTGGAGATATTGAGGAAATTAATAAAATGTAATTATGGGGTAATTTTTAAAACATGACATTGAATACTGTTAACAGGAGGCTAAATGCAGTGGCTCCAATATTGACAGATCACCCTGCAACTCAGCATAAATATTGCATATTTTATAAACAATGACACAGTACAAAAGAATAGACATGCATATCCTTGCTCCTCAATGTGTTAGGACCAGAAGGAAGGAGAACGTAAATCAAGTCAGGTAGTTGTTTGGAAAATAAAAGGATGCATACGACTGACAGGTAACTAGCACCTGTAAGCTGTCTTAATCATGGGGCTTCATTTAAGATGTTGGGCATGCTGGTTCATCACAGCAATTTTTAAAGAATTCATTCTTCTTCACATCTCATTCTGGAAGAATTAAAGCTAATCCCGTCTTAAACAATTTGCCATTTTCTCTAATAGCAAAGGCTGCAACAAGGTCTTAAAATTCAGTCACAAATGTATGCTCTCACAACAAACATTAAAGTCAAGCTTAACAGAATGATCCATGCAATGTACAGTTTAAATGTACCAATTTTACAAAGAAATGAAAGCACAGAGGATCTAATCCTGGTTTGATAAGCAGTATTTCTAAATTATGAGAAGTTTTAATAAAAAAAAAACAAACCCAAAACTTAAATCTTAGCTCCAATGACATTTTTCCTTCTTTCCCCCAAAAGAATATTTCTAGAGCACAAAATAGATTCATAATTGTTTAATTAGATACATTCTATATATCCTGAACATAATGGCTCTCATAGAAATAAACTAATATCTTTACACAAACTTTTTATTTACTGTGCCACATTCATAATATACCAACGTGAGCCAAGTGGAAACATTTTTACAACTCCTGGTGTGTGAGGAGCTCTGCTCCCACTAACACTTCATTATCTAGGATGACAGAGAACAAGATCAGACGAGATGGATAATTAAAATTCACAAGGTAATAACAAAAATGTACATTAGATTATGATTATAAACTCCAGCCACAGCTGTAAAGTAACCAGGACCAAGCAAAACAGTTTCATCGGTTTTTTCTTTTAACCCCGCCCCTCAGTGCCCCTTAGGGGCAGGAACTAAGGATTGATGAGTGAAGTCACTGACAGACATGGGGCCTGAATAATGAAGAGGAGCAAAAGGTTTGGAAAATCGACAACTTGGCATCTCGTTTTGAAAACCCCTTGGTTTCTCTTACCTAGAAAATACATTTGGTAGTTTTTATGTCACATGTAATTGATATGTAATATTAAAAGATATCTCAAATAAGATTTATTTTTATAACTACTTGGAAATTATGGGTTAAAGTAACCCATGAAAAATAATGACTTAATTTTAAAAAATGATAAAATAACAGCAGAACCTGAGAGTAAATTTGTACCCTCGGTGGCAGCATACGGAGACAAAATAATTAGTTTCTATGTGGGCTGTTATGTGCCATCGATCTGTTCAGTCTAGCCACACCCACAGGACCATTGTCACTTATTATTGCTTTCCTTAATGACCAGCTCAGAGATGAAGGAGCTTATAAATAAATCACGGGGGGAGGTATAAAGATATATTAAGTCTGCTCTATCCTAGATTGTTTTAGGGAAAAACAAATAAGAAAAGTGCCCCTGAAATAAAAAGACATTTATTTTATCCTTTTGCTGTTTAGTCTCAAATTATGCAGCCCCCATATTATGAAGATGAAAATTCCAACCAGAATAAGTCTCACAATTCTATAACCGCCATGTCAATAAAGAGTAAAAAAGAAATAGGCGATGAGGCACATTATAATTATTTGACTGGGAGATCTGTGAATCAGGTATTATAGGAGTATTATCTAAAATTTAATTGATCACTTGAATGGGAAGTCTAATCAGGATGTCGGAATCTCAAACGATTCTAAATCAGATATTATAAAATGTGATTTTAATTAATCTGAAATTCTTCTCATTCTTATCTTGAAATCCTAATCAGACTTTCAGGTTCACTCTGACCAACATTCACTTACCTGATTTGTAGCTTGAACTCGCTATTTAGTAAAGGTCTTCTCTACTATTCTTTTTCTCAGTTACAACCCAAACAGTTGTCGCTTCCCCGTTGGTTCCTGAGTCCTCTCCCAGCTGCCTGATGTCATATCCGTTGGTAACTGACACCTCACCTTCCTACTTCTTTACTTGTAGCACCTTATTTTACAGAATTCTTTTCTTATCTTTAGCTGAAATATTTTGAGTCTGTTCAAAGAGCTAGTAAGTACAGACCAGAACCATTTTATATGGTATTTAAAGCTTTAGCAATTGCAGGAGGACATACTTCTATGAGGAATTCAGTAAAGTTATTGTTAAATTCTAATTAAAAGTATAGGCACATGTCTCAGGATGCAAATAAAAAAATGTCAAGAAGAATAAGCAAAAAAAGAATTGATAACAAGGGAACATTTTACTACCCTGGGGCAAACTACCCGTAGATTTAAAATGGGAAGTAAAGGCATTGAGAAATCTAGGAAGGGTATTGCCTAAACAGAACACTTAGATCTGGCGATAGATCAAGGAGTTTGCTTGAGAATGAAATGTCATTCTAAACCAATGCATACTGTGCATATAACGCAGGGACTCAGATAAAAGAAAGGATGTTTTAGGAGAACTGAAATATTGCTCCACCTAGTGGACACTTCAGAGTTTTCCCTTGTGCGCCTGAAGTTTGGATTTGATGGTGGATTAGCTATTATGAGGAAAGCACAAAACACAAAACCTTGTTATCAGAATTTAAAATAACACTTAAAATCTGATGGTAAGAATCTAGAATAAAACACTAAGAATAAAATATATGTAATTTTATAATTCTTTAGAGAAATCGCTAGAGAGATTTTATTTTTATTTATCTTTTTTATTTTTTGTTTTTAGGCAAGGCAACCCTTGGTTGACCTCACAGATTGCAAGGACCTTGTCAGCTTACAATCCCTTTATTTTTTTATTTTTTACACCTACAGCACCTGGCCTTCCTAGGTGGTCTCCCATCCAAGTACTAACCAGGCCCGTCCCTGTTTAGCTTCCGAGATCAGACGGGATTGGGCATGTTCAGGGTAGCATGGCCGTAGACTAGGGAGATTTTATTTTAAACATATAGGCATTTATGCAGTTATCTACGTACAGCAACTCAAGAATACTGATACAAGTTTCCTACAAAAGCTTCTGTATACTGTGAAAAGAAATAAATCCTTAAGTATGTAAAACACTTTTGTGCCCCTCCTTTTTTGTTAGAATGGATAAATTCCTTAGCTTAAGTTTCATATCTCTGCCAGTAGCAAGGTAAATGCTTAATATGCAGTCATGTATAATACAGAATCACTGATGAAAATATAAAATATAATTTGGAAAGAACTCACTTAAACAATGCAAATAAGCTACTAGCATTCTCGCTTCTGTTCCCAGTGGGAGTCCACTCGTGCCAATGGTTTGGGCATAGGACAGAAATGCAGGTTATGCTGTGCTTCACTTAACAATAGTGATGTTTACAGTACTCCTAAGCCAGCCCAGAAACTCCATATGCTTTCTGTTATTCCCTTCCAGGGTTTAAACACTGATGCCAAGTGTTCAAATCAAATACACATTGCCAAATAGTAGGGTACACTGTGAGGTCGGGTGGAGGAGGGGTGGCGTACTATCTGGGTGCAGGGCAGGAACTGGGCAAGCAATGTGAACACGGAAGTCTACCCAGCACACTGTCTCCTTCTTGCCCTTCGCATATGATGCAGTAACCAATATATCGAAGTAAAGCATGTGCTATTTACTTTTTGAATCCATTTAAGTTAGACTCATAATTGTTATGAGCTCACAAAGTGAATCATGCCATGATTCGAAAGATCTGTCCTTCACATAAACCTATGAGCACACATTAAAAAAAATGATTTATTTTACATCTTCGCATTTCTTAAGGCATGAACAATGGCGTACAGATGGAACAGGTTCTGAGAAGCATCACGTCTTTATTGACAAGGCCAGCACGAGTACACCACATCAAACAGACACACTCGAAGTCTGAGCTGACCGACTGTCATGGCCCAGGAGCTCCCACAATGAGGGGATGGAGCGACCAGAAAAAGGACCGAACGTACAGTTTATGTCATGTTGCTTTAAACTCTCTGGATCAGCTTTGAGCACCAGTTACAGTTTGTTTTTCCTTACAAACTCATCAGACTTTGGATTTTATATTCTGCTCCTTTAATTCTGCTTTTCGAGGAGGGTGTGGATTTTTTTTTTTTTTTTTAAGGAATAAGGTTGCAGCAACACAGAAAGGATCCAAAAGTAGTTAGGGGCCTTGTCTAATGCACTTCTGAAAGTCCATTATAAAGATGAATAGAAAAGCAAATGGTCGGTGTTCGGTCGACCCAGAAACCACGCGGAGCTCTAAGAAACATAATTGTGCATAGTTATTTATTCATTCAGGGCATGATATGTTGGCTAGCTCTACATTCCCAGGTTACCAAAGAACAGGGCTGTCTACTTTGCTAAACCCAGGGTCCCTTCGCAGCTCCCAGTAGGTGTCATTAGAAACCCAGGCTTCTCTTTGATTGGCATCAATCACTTTTCTGTGAAAAATAAAAGAAAAATAAAAAAAAAAAATAAACCATTAGACACAAATTATATCAAGGTGACCTGATCATTGGACTCTCTCCGGTAGATAAGACGTGTACAAATAAGCAGTACTTTGTAAGCCAGTTAGTGTCCTATCTGCTTATTGCTGACTACTACTTTTGATCAGAAATAAACTCATTTTTACTGTTAAACATTTGAAATGGAAGTGAGTAGGGTCTTGGGGAGAGGAGCTAAGGGCAGGAATAAATCACCTCCAGATAGGGCTAGAAAGTGAAGTGCCCGCAAACAAAGCATGTACAGATACTGTTACTAAAGCTTCAAGCCCTGGACCCACAAAAATAGTCTCTGCTTCACTCACGGGGAAAATATGCAACTTCAATAGCTCTAAGAACCTCTGCAGGGCCGATATATCCAGAGTGCACTTTCGACATCTAAAGGGCAAGCCCGCATTCCTCCTAGGGCAGTCATGAGATGGCAACTACAAAGGACACCAAGTTATTTCGAGCTGATCTGCCCCAGCTCTGGGAGGCAACAGATGGATCTGAAAACTGCAGTTTAATCTGTGTGATGTATACATAATCCTGCAAATAATCCTGTAATAAACACTAGAGAGGAACCAAATATGAACGGACACAAGCTCCATGTGCCAGAAAGAAAATTAAATACTAATGAAGCCAGGATGACCTTGTGGGCATTGGAGTCCCATCTCGTTTGAGCGAGGGGGTGAGAATAAGTTTCTACCATTCGAAAGGGTGGAGCTGAAAGAGAAA